ACACACTCCAAAAAAAAAAAAAAAAAAAAAAAAAAGTGGGCAAAGGACATGAATAGACATTTCTCAAAAGAAAACAACAATGGTCAACAGGTATATGAAAAAGTGCTAAACATCACTCATCATCAGGGAAATGCAAATCAAATCTGCGATGAGATATCAGCTTATCCCAGTCAGAATGGCTGTTATTAAAAAGACAAACAATAACAGATACTAGTGAGGATGCAGAGAAAAGAGAACTCTTACACACTGTTGGTAGGAATGTAAACTATGAAAAACACTATGAAATACAGCCACTATGAAAAACAGTATTGAGATTTCTCAGAAAATTAAAAATAGAATTATCATTTGATCCAGCAATCCTCTAATGGTTATATACCCAAAGGAAAAGAAACTAATATATCAAAGTGATACCTGCACTTCCATGATTATTCCATCCGTATTCACAATAGAGAGGATATGGAATCAACCCTAAGGGTCCATATATGCACAATGGAATACTGTTCAGCCATAAAAAGAATGAAATCCTGTTATTTGCAGCAACATGGTTGGAAATGGAGGTCATTATCTTAAGTGAAATAAGCCAGGCACAAGAAGACAAATATCACACATTCTCACTTATATGTGGGAGCTAAACATTTTGATCACATGCAGGTAGAGAGTAGAAAAATAGATAACAGAGACTGGAAAGGGTGAGTGGTGGGGGGATTGAGGAGGATGAAGAGAGGTGAGTTAAAGGGTACGAAGAAACAGTTAAATCGAAGGAATATATCAATGTTTGATAGCAGACCACAGTTATTATACTTAACATAAATGTATTATACTCAGATGACAAACACCCTAAATACCCTGACTTGACCACTACTCATTATATACATGTAACCAAATTTAACACGTGCCTCACAAATATGTACAAATTTTTAAAAGTAAACTATATCCTTGATCAGGCATGGTGGCTCACACCTGTTATCCTGGCACTTTGGGAGGCCAAGCCCAGAAGTTCAAAACTAGCCTGGGCAACATAGTGAGACCTTGTTTCTACAAAAAATTTTAAAAAATTATTCAGGCAAGGTGACACACCCTATAGTCCCAGCTACTTGGGAGGAGTCCTAGTTACTGAGGTGGGAAGATCTCTTGAGCCTGAAAGGTGGAAGCTATAGTGAGCTGTGATCATGCCACTGCACTCCAGCCTGGGCAACAGAGCAAGACCCTTTCTCAGAAAAAAAAAAGTAGACTATATCCTTAATCACAATAGCTAATATATGGAATCAATGTAAGTGTTCATCAATAGATGAACAGATAAAGATAATTATGGTACGTGTACACAATGGAATACTATTCAGCCTTCAAAAAGAAGGAAATCCTATCATTTGTGACTAAGTGAATGAACCCAGAGGACATCATGCAAAGTGAAATAAGCCAGACACAGAAAGACAAATACCAACTTATATGTGGAATCTAAAAAGTTGAACTCATAGAAGCAGAGAATAGAGTGAGTGGTAGGTAGTTGTGGAGAGGCCACTGGGGAGATGTCTGAAGGATACAAAATTTCAACTAGACAGGAGGAATAAGTTCAAACGATCTATTGTAAAATGTGGTGACTGTATTTAATAACAATATATTCTTGAAAATTGTTGAGAGAGGCTGGGCATGGTGGATCACACCTATAATCCCAGCACTTTGGGAGGCAAAGGCGAGAGGATCATTTGAGATCAGCAGTTCAAGACCACCCTGGCCAACATGGCAAAACCACATACCTACTGAAGATACAAAAATTAGCTGGGTGTGGTAGCTACTCAGGAGGCTGAGGCAGGAGAATCGCTTGAACCCCAGAAGTGGAGATTGCATTGAGCTGAGATTGTGCCACTGCACTCCAGCCTGGCTGACAGAGCAAGACTCTGTCTCAAAAACAACAAATTGTTAAGACAGTAGTGTTCTCACCACAAAAAATAGTATGTGAGGTAATACAAATGTTAATTAGCTAAATTTAGCCATTTCACAATGTATTACATATATCAAAACAATATGCTGTATGTGATAAATTATATGCTTTTGTCAATTAAACAATAATAAAATCGTAGACCATATTCATTCAACATAAAATAAACATCCATTGTGTCAGAGTATCAGGGCATGGAGATCAGGAGGAACAAATATAAAATGGCCTATCAGAAAGCATAGAATAAGAATAGGTCCACCAAGGAAGGAACGGACTTTGGAATGTGAAAACTTAAATTTCAAAGGGACAGAGACTTAATAGAGCACCTGAATACCTCTGATGTTATACTGATATATTTATGTGTGTATATATATATATATATATATATACACATATACATACATACACATACACACATATATACACACAAATGTGATTTTTATATATAAGATTATTTAAATTTTTATGTTTCCCTTTTGTATGTTTTAGACTCTGATTTGGTCAATTGAACACTTGACCTAATGATAAAATATTACAGTAAATATTCTTGCTGAATTTCTTCTTGTTCAACTTTTCTTTTATGTGCTTTTGTTTTAGCAAACAAAGATCACAAGGAAAAACATTCTCAAATGAGAGAATTTAGAGCACCTCAGTTTTCTAACTCTGAAAATGGTAAGAAATAATCATTTCACTCTCTATATAAATGATTCTTTAAAATTCTTCAATTTTCATTTAATGTTTATTTCCTTAACATTAGAAACTGTCTCAGTCTCTACATAAGAATGCAATTATGTGCCTCTACTTTGTAGCATATCACAATGGAAATTAAATATTTGTTCTGTATGTTTGGGCCCTATCAGAATGTATCTGTATAACCAGGACAGCTAGGGTGTGTCCGTTTTTCTGTCTCATGTATCTCGACCACCAGCAGTATAGGCACTGGGTAGATATTTGTTGAATGAATGAATGAATGAATGAAATTTTTTATATTATCAGTGTCATTAGACACTAGCAAAATAGTAAATGTCATTCAATGTTAAATAAATAAAAAACACTATTTAAGAAACAAAAGTATGCCCCCAACATTCTAGTTTTCTTATCTATAAAATGAGGATCAAGAGTAAATTAAGGTACTTCCTAAGCATTAAATAACTACCTTGAATATCTTTCTCAAGCAATTTGGCTGTCAGTATTTTCTCCTAGTTTGTCATTTGTCTTGTGACTTTGTTTCTTTAAATTTTTTAAAGTTAAAAATGTTTTTAAAGTTTTAAATACAGTCAAATTTGTTAATCTTTTCTTTTATTGGATCTGGACTTCAGTCATAGAAAGCTTTTCTTAAACCCAGATTATAAAAGAATTATCTTATGCTTTCTTCTGGTATTTATACAGTATTATTTTTTACATTTAGATCTTGAATTCATTTGAAGTTAATTCATGTGTACAGTGTTAGCAATGGATCAAATGTTATCCCTTGCTTTTTTTTCCCCCAAATGGCTATCATATAT